TGAGGTTCTTTTCTTATCGATTACATCTTGGCGGCTCTTACGGGTGGTAAACTTTCAGTGGGTATATAATGCACCTATTGCATAGTTATGACTTTTGAGGGTGCATTTCCCAAATTTGTTTCTGTGCGCGCGTGTAACTCCATCAGATGAGCTCCCAAACGAAATCCGATCTTTCCTTTATTCTATTCGCTCGAATGAATCAGCTGGCAATTAGCAGTTTTGTAAATGCGTTATGAGCAGATGGGGTGCAGTGGGGAATTGTTTCTCATACCACAAGAAAATATTGGCAAAGGTAGGACCTGTGGCAGCGGCTGATTGTCACCGTGCCAGCCAGAAACTTAGGCAGTGCGCTCAAAGGAATGCAGGCAGCATGAGGAAACGTTGACGCGTCCCTACCCTTTCTGCTTGGAGTGGCAGCTGTGTGCACAGTTAGGATCGTAAGAAACGCCTTCTCTAGGAGCCGCGATTTGAACTGCGTGTACGCTAATATTGTTTGCCTGAGCACTTTTGAAATATAGTTTTTAAAGGAGTTGAACAACGAGCACACTGGCGCTGTGTGGTGTGTCCGCTTCTCTGTATGTGGACGACTGATGGCAACGGCGGGTCAGGACAATATAATTCGCGTTTGGGCTGCACGAAGTCATCTCAAGTACTTTATCCAAATGAGAGAAAGGTGAGAATGTATAACCCAGGAAGTCAACGAGAGGTGTGGGTGTTTACCTTTCGGTACGTTGGAACCCATTTTCAGGTACCAGCAGAAAACCTCAGATGCTTGTGGCTCTCCAAATGAAGCATTTCAATCGGCTATTCACGATATGGAATCATTCAGACCTCCTAGTTCCACTGGCAGCAATACGCAAAGTATGTCTTCAACTCCTCTTTCATTATCAGCGGCTTCCTAGAATTCTCTGAACTGGGGAGAACTGGACCACCGCAAAGAATGTCCATCTTTTTGGCCTGTCTTGTCGCTTAACTCATTTGAGGTACAACCAGTATATGGTTCTTATGAATTAATTGTTGCAACAACGAAAACGATAACTATGCCTGTCATAGAATAGTATTTCGGATTTCAAGGGAGACTGACGAGGTCATCGTAACTTGTCGCGTGCGCCCTCGCCTCTGGCGTACTCTGTGGCGCCGTCATTGGCGTACTCTGCGACGCTGTGCGGTAATCTCGATGTGCACCGGTTTTTCGAATGAGTAGCGAAAAGACAAGACAACGGGACAGCCGATATCAAAACTCCCGTCCCTTCAACACTCAAATCTGAACGGCCAGGCAGGACAAGTCGTCCGTTGGGCGCGTCACTACCACTCGCCACGCCCACCGGCTCGGCATATCGCGAATGTCCTGTCACACACTCGTTGCCTGGCGGGCTCTTTAAGGCAGCGTTCAGACTTCGCGACGGCAGCGCTTCGGTCGCGCGTTCGACGCGATCAATGCAGTCGAAAGCATGCGCATCGATCGCGCCGAACGCGCGACCGAAGCGCTGCCGTCGCGAAGTCTGAGCGCTGCCTAATAGTAAGTACGATTGGTGTTGAAAGTGATTGTTTTTTTTTCAGGTGAAATCATTGGAGATGAAGAAGATTCTACGAATCTGTTCTCAGCCAAGCCCTTTGTCGTTTTTAAGGTGAAAACTCGCATTTTTTTCAAAATCGCTTTATTGTACTGTTAGCGAAATTTGTTAATTTTAGGGTCATACTGCCGACATATTAGATTTATCGTGGTCAAAAAATTACTTTATTCTTTCGTCTGGCATGGATCGAACAGTGAAATTATGGCATCTGTCACGTGGTGAATGTCTGTGTTGTTTTCAACATGTGGATTTTGTGACTTCTGTCGCGTTCCTTCCAAAGGTACTGTTTCCTATCATCACTCTCTTTCTTTTCTTTTCTTTTCGAGGAATAGGAAAAATGAATAGGACATTTTAGGACGATCGCTACTTTCTTTCTGGTTCCCTTCGATGGAAAGCTGAGAATGTGGCACATACCAGACAAAAAAGTAGCTGTGTGGAATGAAGTTCCTGTGAGTTTTTTTTGCGTATTAGGATGTCCGAGATACACTCGCTAAATATCTGGTTATTGACTGAAGCTAATATGAATGGTATCCATACAAGTCTTTTAAAGACGTTGAGCACGATGTCAGGGCGGCGATTATCGCCATCGTGATTGGTGGAAGAGCTGAGCGGGGCGTGGCCGGACGACTTATCGCAGCCCTTCCACCAGTGACGCTTACAACGACCGCCCGCCTGCAGGGATGTGCCCACTGTCCTTAGGTTCTGTAGTTTTTTTTCGCTTATCATACCGTCTTGTCGTTGTAATTTGTGGCCGCCTTGAACAGGTGTTCCAGTATGGAAGCGGCCTCAGGCTCAAATTTATCACCCTCGAGATTTCAAAAGCTGAGTGATATTCGATGACCTTCTGACTACAATTTTGTTCTCCAGCAATATGGAAAAAAATTGAACCGAGGCAGTCTTTCTTTCACACACCAATATTACCTTTAGAGAATGACTACTTCACGAGCATTTTTGTTTCTCTTTCAGGTCAAGTTCATAACAGCAATTACGTTTGTGAAAAATGGAAAGTTTGCTGTTGTTGGAACTTATAATGGCCGTTGCTTTTTCTACTCGACTGATGTAAGTAGTTGTTTGAACAGAATTAGTGACGTGTACTAGTATGATCCGTTAGGGTTCCTAACTAAGTTGTAATTGGAAATATTTCTAGCAACTCAAATACCATACAGTGGTGGATGTGCGTTCATCCCGTGGCAAAAACGCTCGAGGACATAAAGTGACGGGTTTGGCTGTACATGGAGATAAATTACTGGTAAGATGGCTCTATGGTTTCTGGGGTAAATCGACAATATCACCTGTTATAGGTGACTTCAAACGATTCACGTATACGAATGTATGATGTTCGTGACAAAGCGCTGACGTGTAAATTCCGTGGAGCCCAAAATGAACACTCGCAAATTCGGGCAGCATTTTCTCCTGATGGACGTCATATTGTGTGTGGTTCAGAGGATAAGTGAGTTGAATTCAACTCATCTACTTTCGAGTTAGATGTGAAAGCGAAGCTACTGGTTTACCTTGTCTGTAAAGCTCTTAGACGTCCTTGTAGCGGAGCTCGCGAGCTCTTGAGGCTGCGTTCATACTTTGCGGGAACGTCCTCCAACGTACAGCAGCGTTTTCGCGGGCACTCTTGGACTTGAGCAAAACTGCCCGCGAAAACGCTGGTGGACGCTGGTAGATACTGGCGTTCGCAGATCGATACCTATACTTCCCTAGCTTCTCGAGACCCTGGCGTACACTGGTGGACGCTGTTGTGAAGTATGAACGCTTACTTGGCCATAATTTTTGACCTGTTTACTGTGAAAACACCCCTTGAAATTGCCGGATGAGCGCAGCCAAGGAACAACGTTCTTGCGCGCTACTTCGTTTCCCGCCTCCTTGGTCGCGACAAAGACGGGAGGTGAAAAGGCGTTATAATGACGTCGCTTCCTAGCCCTGCCTGCCTGCAGTTCCGACCGTCATCTCTACCCAAATGCTGTTTCCTAATTTGCTGCAGGTTTTGCTTTGGTTTAGCGCCGGAATGTGGAAAGGAACTGGGCGCCTGAAATAAAAGATGAATGAACAGGCTTCTTCTCATCAGCAAATTGTTGCTCCGTTGGAAGAAAAGGTTGCCTCTTCTGGCGCGGTCATATTATCTTTGGAGTGTTTAGCCACGTGCCCACAGGCAACTTGCCTGTATCGAAACATTGACTAAATCATTAAAAGAGGTCCTTTTTGAGCAACAAAAGCGCCAAAGACAAAGGCAATGTTACTTACTATCTCAGCCGTCAATCCATGAGTTAAGCGATCCGGACGAGTTGTCCGGCTTGAACGACACGCCGCGTGAGACACAGTGGTCCGTCCTACTTCCGTGGACACAGAGCTTCTGTGGCGCAGCTTCTCGTGCTGCAGTGGTTTCATCTCGACTCGCCAACTTACATTTCGCTAGTATTTCCCCCAGTCATAAGAGTCACTTTCCTCGTCCATGAGATTGTGAAAGCCTAGGTCAACTGATCGTTTTCCTCTACAAGCACTCGCTTCCTTCCAAGGTCTGCGTGCTCTTAGCAAATGTAACTTTTTTTCAGATTCATCTATTTATGGAGAACTTCCGATTTGCCGTCGACTCTGTCTGTTCGCAAAGACCGTAATGCTATGTGGGAACGGGTACGAGCGCATAGTGCTCCTGTTTCTGTCGCAGTTTTTGCACCGAAACCTCAGGTAGGTTCCTAACTGAAAATTGAAATTACTCTAGAGATTTAACAGCTGATTTTTGGTCCAATCAGAAATACCATTGGGTCCAAGGTGGAAGCTTTAGCGTTGTTTTCGGGCCTAAGAAATACCAAACAGACCCGTCACTATTTGTTATTCACCACGACTGTGGCCACTAATGGTTTGGTAGTCCTCAACCCCTCCTGTTATGAAAAAAAATGTCTAGGGACACGCAGTCTTAGAGCGACGGGGGTGGGGTGTATATAGTACCATGGAACAGGAAAATCACCAAAAGTCAACCACCACTCCTACAACGCCAAAACGTAAATACGACCCCTCCCCTCCCAATAATGACCAAGTACGACCCCCCCCCCCCTTTACAACGGTCGCTGAAGCGGCTGAAACAGATGCAACTATCAAAAATGAAATTTTTTTCTACAGCCCACATTACGACCCCCTCTCCTGGTGCGGCAATTACACCCCCCCCTTATAGGGATTCCCCAACACGCATGAGCCCTGCTTCTTCCCTTATCTTGTCTACATTTTTCTATTACGTTGTTACTCTGATCAGGGTTAGTGTTCCTTTCGATGATGTGTGCGAAAAACAGGCCACGAATGAAATCTCTGTATAGCACCTTTCGTTTCCTGTCTAGCTTTTCTCAGTCACGTAACCACATGTGGCATGTAATATGTAAGTGTCCGATCTACAAGTGTTCATTCATAAAAATCATGTTTTAAATCTACCAAAACTCAACAAAAACATGTCATGCTTTACTTCAGTTGCGCAGGACTGACTTGATCTGCAAATTACTAGTACTGTTTGTTTTCCCGTTTGCTTTCGGTTTCTGTTATATGTACACTGCTTAGTAAATCAGTCATATGTTGTCATAAAAACTTGTTGGATTTGTTGTGGGGTGCATCTAGTCTTTATTGTCGCATATTACTACTAATTGTGTGTTATTTTTGCTGTGTAGAAACGGGTATTGCTTTGTAGTTCGCTACTTGTAATACTTCTTGAGAATACTCGTGTTTGGTGGGTGTATAATCTGATGACGTTTTCTTTCCAATATTGATTTGCCAGCAAGAATGTAAAGCAGCGTGCAGACTTCGCGACGACGTGCTCTAACGCGCCACTTCTGAAAGGACGCCAATGTGTAGACGTGAACGGAGCCGCAGATGGGAATTACTCGGCGCTGGCCACTTGCGTTTTGAGAGAATAAGGAACATCGAGGGTAGGCGCTGTCTCCACACAGTCTGATACCCTGCTAATCATCTGTACTCTCCTCATCACGAGCGGACACTGCCGATCGATAGCAGACTGCGTGTAGGCGACGGTACCCTCTTATTCTCGCATACTTTCTCAAAACACTAGCGGCCGGTGCTGATCGATTCCCGTCTGCGGCTGTGTTCGCGTCTATAACTTTCCAGCGGTGCTGCAGCTGTAGCGCGTCGCCGCGCGTCATGCCAAGTCTAAACGCTGTCTAAGCGCTCGCTGTACAGCCTGCTCCTTTATGATGCATATAGCTTCCAGCGCATCGCACCGCATCGCCATTGCGAAAGCTCATTCCACTCTGGACCCTGGTGTACATATATGTCATATCTATCATTTGGCAACATTACAATTTGAAATGCCTCTAGCGATTGAATGTGCCTTATTAATTAAGTAAATATCTATATTGAAATAGTTATGGGAATGTCGGGTTTCGCGTGTATCATTGGTCAGACTATGGCAGGATTTCACTGGCAGCTGCATAGACTAATATATAGTTGCTTCACATTTCATGCACTTATTCTTTGTATAAATTTACTTGAGAGTTCCCTAGTAATTAAGTTTGTTTTGCATGAAGAGTGTCTTTTTTATGGATTTGCCTGATATCGTTAATTGTCATCGATGTTTCAGGTGAAAATAAAGTGTTATCTAATACTCTCGCGTTGAAAAGTTTATGGGTCGACAAACTCAGAAATATTTTTATACAATTGACCTTGATGGAAAAGTCCCAACGGGGCTTAGTACAGGACATCTGAGAGGTGTCGTCCCCCACAAGGCAACTTCCTAGCTAATTGACTCAATATGCCGTTTTGGCGTCAAATCACTTGTACCGTGACAGTTTACGTCCTAACTCGTTTAGCTCGCGGCCTTACCTCGAAAAAATTCCTGCAATATCATATTGTCGTCCTTCGTTGCATGTGTCGAGGAGCGCAGCCGAACTGTATCAATTTTTTAATGGTTTTAGTTATAGAGTGGCACCAATTGATTCCTTGTTCCTTGAAACTTGAAAAAAAAAGTAAAAGCAATTTTT